TTTTGCCCTTAGTATAGCATTCTGCAGCCCTATGTCCTACATGACCACATAGGGAGCAGAGGTGGTACTCTCTCGTAGACCACTTTCTGGATAGTGGTCTTGCCCTCTTGGTCGAGCTCAATTTCCTTGATGAGCTCGTCCCTAAGATCAACCTCTACGCACACCCGTGCGACGGATAACCTCGAGCAGTTTGTCGTAGCGGCATCAATCTCAATTGGGTTGCCAATGCAACTGGCAATCGAAAAGAGGGCAGAAGGGTCGAAAAGGTGTGGTAAAAGTCCTGGAAAGCAGCACCACACCGGGACTATGGGAGATTCCTCAACAAAGGAGAAATCTGGGGTGTATTTAAACACCCGACCAGCACATCCAAAGATATTGAGATGCGTCTTAATCCAAACTGAGTTGTAGTCCTCTTTCAACTCAAAAATGAGTAAATAATGATTATAATTCAGGAACTTAGGGGTCACTCTACCCTTGAAACCTAATTTGACCAAACCGATAGATAAATCCCGAAGGGAAGGGACAGTGAAGGAAAACTTCAAAATGAGTGCATTATCCATCGACCCAACTAGGGAAATAACAGTGGGCTCAGGGAAACTTACCGTGAACCTGCCCTCCTCGGATCGAGTGAATGTCCCGCTCTGTTTGTCGCGGAAGGACTCCAACATCAGTCTTTGTTGGCCCGGTTTGGCGGTGGATGTGTCGGAGACCGCATCTTGAAAGGAACGTGCTCCTGTTGGGCGGGGTCCCTTGTCCACCAAAAGGGGAGGGGGGATGTCCGAGCGCGCTTCTTGGACCGAGCTTCCCCTCTGCGGCCGTACATTGTGATCCACTACCGGCAGAGTGGTGGAGGGACCGCGGCCCAGTAATCCAGTCGAACGCGAAGAGGTAGTGTCGTGGTCGCTGTTGGCGGTCCCATCGATTTCCGTCAATGATGCACCCGTCGGGATGCAAATGGGGGCCGCAAGAAGAGGCTCTGATTGGCTCCCGCCCATATGTAGGTGACCGGCACCGTCGCCGAAGCCGGGAAGAGAGCTGCCAGCCGACTTCATGGGGGCTGAGACGGTGGAGCATGGGACAGTGGTCGCCGACGCTGGTTCGGTGGAGCATTGTGGCCTGAGGAAAGAGGAGCCATCGGAGCTTCGCTCGTGTGGAGGTGGCCGGCGCCGGTGTCAGGGGCGGGGGTAGAGACACCGACCGGTGGCGGGAGCACTGAGGTGGGATCCGCTGCTGTAACAGGGTCTCGACGGACATCCTGGTGGGGGAGGCTGTTTGCCATGGATGTTGGGCCTGATGAGGAGGGGCGGCCTGATGTGTTGGTTAAAATGTGAGAATTGGGCCAGGGGTTATTGGTCCTTTGGTCTGAGAAAGTATGAGTCAGTGAATAAATTGGGCTTATGGTCTGTGGGAAGGAAAGGCAGTGGGCTTGAGGCGACAGCCCGCGGGAATATGGCCCAATAGATTGGCCCAAAGTAGGTTGAGCTGGGGGGAAAGATGGTGAGGGATGGATAAGGTTTGGGATTTGAGCTGTGTCTGACGCCGTGAGAGGAACAGAGGTCAACGGCGGAGGAAAGGATCCCACCGGGAGGTAGCCAAATTGTACCGGCCAAGGGTTTCCGGCATCTGGACAGGTTGGCCCAACGGTGGCGGAAACTGGACCTATCGTAGAGGAGGCAGTCGCGCACGGCAGCGCTGCGTCATGGAAAGGCAGACTGGAAAGGGTTTTGTCATGGGGAGGCAGTTTGGTAAGGGATTTGTCTGCGCGGCGACCAACTTGAGCCGCCGGTTCACAAGCTCGAGGCTTCTCTGACGGGTGTAAGGCGGATCTGATGACTTTCTTCAATTTGTTGGACCAAGAGGTAAATCTACCATGTAGGTCATCGGTGAACGGTTTGAAAGGTCCGATCGAGGACGAATTTTGAAAACCACACGGGGGCGCCGCAGCAGTCAGGTCAAGGGAGCTCGGTGATAGGGCCATGAAAAGGGAGGGAGAAGGGGAAAAAAACCGAGGAGGATCGGAGGCAAAGGACCGGGCGGCTAGCCGCCGGCAATGCGGCCGCCGGCAGAGGCTATGTGGCAGGAGTGACCGAAAAAAATGAAGGTGAAGGATGGAAGGGTATGGGGTTTAGAGAGAGAATGTTAGAGAGAGGTGAGAGCATTTCTTTTATACTATTTTAACATAAGGAACAAATATTTCTTCTTATGTATGAGTGTGGAATAAGTGATCATAGACTAATTTTAAGCATCATCTATTAATATAAAATAAGAATTAACATAATTCACTTTTAGAAACATTTTCCCGTCAATTTAATTAATTATTGTCTAAAATTAGTATTTAACAAAAATCAATGTAATTAATGTATATAATCTTTTTAGTCAAATATTTATGATTATTACCTTTATTAGTTGAATTTAAATTTAGGTTGATTTAGTTTTATGGAAACAAATATGGGGATATTATAAAAACTTTCGAAATCCTTAGGTTAAATATGTAGACTTGATTGAGCAAATTATAGAGAATTAATCGTTAATCTTTATATTCATATTATATTTTATGTATTGAGTAAAACATAATAAATTAATACTTATGTTATTTTTCATACATCTTTTTGTTGGTATAGTAGAGTTGCAAGATTATATTTTTCTTCGTAGGCAAGATAACCAAATACAAAAATATAAATAACATTTATGTGCCGCTAAAAAATATTTTGGACAAAATGTAGAAACGACTTTTAGAAAATACTTAATTGATTTATGGTATAAAGTTGACAAACTTAATAAATCCAATTTTGATATAAAATTTATGATTTTATTTTAAGTATCTGATAGCCATTTTTATTTTTTCATAGAAAAATTGTTGTTAATAATAAATGTCTGATTTGGTGGTATAAAGTGGGTGATTTATTTTTGGTACGAAATGTTCGAATTTAAATAGCATGAATTTTATTTGGAATGAATAGAAGTATATTTGAAATTATTTAAAACAAAATAAGAGCATTTACAATGTATAAATGTTGTTATCACATAAATTTTGACAAATGTCAATTGTTTATATGGATTGTGAACCACATAAGATATTTGTTAAGTACAACTTTATATCTAAAAAATTATCTGCGTGCACAATGTGATCAAACATACTAAAGTAAATTGGCAAAAATAAAAATAAAATATAAATGAGAAACAAAAAATAAATTAATAATTACATATTTTTAAAAAGGTATTCCATAATATTTTATTAAAAACTAAATTTGGCTATTTGGAATCAATTATATTTAAAATCAGTATTATTATGGAACAAAATATTATGGAATGTCTTTTTAAAAACAGTATAATTATGATATCAAGAATTTAACCACAATTCAATTTTTTTAATTCAATTCGTATCTCTTTTTAGACTTATGATCAATTCATTTTAATATAATATAAATTTACCGTAAAAATGAGAGTTGTACTTTACAATAATCACGGTATCAATATTAACAATATAAATGCTAAATAAAATTTAATTATTTGGACTGTATACTTTATTATATCCATATAAATAAATCGCCTATTTGAACTCTAAATATTTTATTTTTTTATATATAGTTATGCAATATATGCAACTTAACTAAAAGAAAAATATTTTCTAAAGATTTCATTTCAATCATGGTAACATATTTTTAAAAAGTGCCACAATTATCATTTTGAATCATTTTCTTATCACTTTTTATGAAATATATTTTTCATTTAAAAACCGTGATTTACATGTCCTCTGATTCATTTAGTTATTTTTTATCTACAAAGGATAAAATATCGTTATTGTTTTTTTTAACGTAATTATTTTTATAAATATGTTTTACAAAATATACAACCAAAATTTTAAATTTCTGTTAAAACATAACAAAACAAAATCGTTCTCAATTTTTGGAATGAATTTGGCATAAAAAATGAGAATGATTGACAAAAAAAAAGATATACTTAAAATCCACACTTTAACTTTAAGGTAACAATTTTCCTTATACTCGATATAAAATTAAACTTCACCAGATAATCATATCTTTAGTATCTATCACAATATTACATATTTTCACTATAGTTTTATTTCATGGTGGTAACATTCCGAAAATGAACAAAAAAATGAAAGTATTAGGTGTCTATGCAATTCACAATTACCAAATGGAGAGCAATCTTGGTAAATATCGATTTACGGTTACCAAGTGAAAAATAATTTTGCATAGAAAAACAAAGAGCTTTTTAATAATGTATGACTTTTTCATGATGATCATTTTACGATTACCTAACAAATGTTCTACGTATTATAACTTATCACTACAAAAAAACACTACAATTCCAACGAAAAAATTCCAATGGCAAAAATTTCCGTTGGAAATTCCAATGAATATTCCAACAAATTTAGTTTTATGGTGGAAGAAGTGTTGGATAGTTGAATAATTCCAACGGATTTTTTCCGTTGTAATAGCTGTAGGAATTTATTTCCATATGACTTTCCGTTGGATATTTGCTATTCCAACGGCCATTTTTTCAACGGATTTTTATACGTAAGAATATCCGTTAGAATAGTTATTCCAACGGAAATATAAAAAATTCCAACGGAAAATTTCTGTTGGAATGTAAGAGTTTTTTTGTAGTGTATTGATTAATAACCTTCAATTATAAATTTTACCAAAATAAATATAACCCGTGCATTGCACGGGGTTACGTACTAGTCGTCCATAAAGCACTACAATTCCCATATGACATTATGTTTTCTGGGCTTAAATACTGGTTGGGTTTGCTCTGGAAGCATTTACTCTACCAATTTGTTGTGTTCCTTCTTGGAAGTGTCTTATTATTAGAAAAAATAATAATAAAAAAAAAACTAACGTGGCAATGGTGTGTCCAGTCACTGCCACATTAGATGCCACGCCATCACCTTCCCCCTATAAATACACCCTCAGCTCATCCATCAATCAAAACATAAAGACCTTCACCCCCTAAAAACAAGAAAAATAAAATCCATGGCCTCCGGCATAGTGAACGCAGTCTTCCTACAAGATCAGAAGCTGCGCCAGCTGGCGGAGCTGATCCGCCTCCAAGAGGTCCGCAACATGTACCACATAAACTTCGCGAGCCTTGGCGACCAGCTTGAGTACCTGCGCATGGCCAATGACAACATGGCCTCCGTCAACACACTCCTTGACGAATGCAACGCCGTGGTCGCCCATCACGGGTCCCACCCGGTCCGTGGGCCCGTGGCCCGCCGGATCCTAGCCTACGCGGAGCACTGCCTCAACAATGCCCTCCAGCTTGTCCGAAACTACACCCTGCGCCGGAGCTACCTTGACAAGATGCTCGACCACCACCACCAGCTGTTCGAGGCGCTCGACGGGCTGGATGTCTCCACCCAGGCTGCAGCCGATGACCTCGTAGAGACCATCCAGGAGTTTGACGACATGGTCATGAGCTACATGAGGCTGAGCCTCAACTCCTTTGCCTCTGCCGAGTTCTCCCGCTACCTAAGGAACGTAGGTATTGGGTTTGACGAGCTTGTTCGGAGGTGAGTTTTTCTTTTCCTGGATTTAATTAATTGGAGATAAATATTTTTAATTGGTTGGATTTAATTAATTATTTAATTGAAAAAGAAATATCTCACAAATAATTAGACTTAAACTGGCTATATATACTTAATTAATTAATCAAAGCAAGGCCTTAATTTATGTAGCTTCTTAATTTATTTTATCAAAAAATAAAATGAAAATAATTATAAAAGTGCACGTTGATATACACGCGCGCGCACGAATGCAGCCATCAGACCAAGTTGGGGCTGTCGGGCAGTTTCGAGGATCTGGAGGAAGACCAAAAACTGGAGGTATACGCCTCCATCATTGAGGCCTCTGGCCGTCTAACCGTGCTGACCCGGTCAGACGGCCCGCCCCCTTCCATATCTTACCGTAAGAAGAAGCCGGCCTACGGGTCGGCTGCCATGCACCTGATGGATATCGGGCAGATCATCTGGGACGTCTACTCGTCAGACCACCCCATCACCACTGCCACACGGGAGGCCCTCGTGTTCGCGGCCGAGGCCGGTGGTGCCGCCCTCGGGAAACTCGTCGGGGCTGCAGTCGCAACCCAGCTGACGGGGCAAGCAGCCACCACACTATTCGTGACGGCCATGGGACTCGTTGGGGGATTCGTGGGGGGTTTCATACTCGGTGCCCTCGCGGGCTTTCTCTTCGACCTCATCTTCACGTCGGGAGGGCAAAGGCCCCTCCCGACCGACGGCTTCATCCTCTACGTGGCGCCAATGCCCAACGGCAACGACATAGCCAAGCAGATTGCATATACTTGAGTGATCGTATCCAGGTGCAAAATAAATGGTGTGTGAGACTGAGTGAATATTGAATAATAAATAAGTCTCTCTCTATGTATATATGATGCCTCCTTTATTATGTTACTTGAGAGTTGAGTGAATAATAATAAATGTTTTTCCAGGCTTGTGTTTCTACATTAATTCACGATATAACACCAATTGAAAGTGTTATCGCACAATTGCTGAAACTTTAGTCACACTTCTCAAAATGTGAGCAACAAATTCGCATGGGCCTGAGAAGTCCGTATTTGCACATATTTGGAATTATGTTTATAAACGTCTTGCCTGAGGCTTCAAATATGGATTCTGCATATATTATTACTGTTACAAGTGTTGTCGAACAAAATGAACAGTAGGTACTAGGAATAGACAATGTGAAGAAACTGCTCGATTTTTTGTTTCAACTGCACCCGTTTGTTGCCTGCAAACTGGTCATATTCATACGGCTGCCGAGTACTCTGATAATTTCAGGACATCCTTACCTTGACGACTAGTTGATTTGCTCTTAGGTTGTCTTAGCCTTCTGTGGTGCCGGAAGCAACTGCAAGATCCAAGTGTGTGTCATTTTATTAGCAAAAGCTAGGATCATAAAAGCACCATAGATGACTACCTTTAAATATAATATTATCAAAATCAGTGATTCTGAATTTCTGATGCAGACCAAGAATTCATACTCTCGTTTACTTTAAATTCGAGGTTGATACTAAAGGTGACTTCATGATTATGGCAAAGCCGGAATACCAAAATAATTAAAAACCCCAGTTATATTTCAATTACCCCACATATTTTTTCACTATACAAAGACAACTAAATATCAAGACGGTGCGTGTATTGGTAATATGAAAACATTTAGTACCAATGCTGTGATACCTTCTGTGAAAACCTCATACTGCTTTCCAAAGTAGACAAAAAAATTCAGTAATTTCAACACAGAAATAGAGAGGGCACCTGGTAGCATGAGATGAGAGAGCTCACGAACCCAAAGGCACCAGTAACACGAGGGGTGACTTTCTTGGGCGCCAGTTGAAGCAAGCCAACTGCAACAACTATGTCCATGCCTGCCTTCACGAGCGCGAGTGTTCTCTCATTCGATTTCTGAAGCTTACTTCTGTACTGTTCATTCTGGAATTAAGAAGATACCAAGAGAACAGGATAACCAAATAAGTATAGGCAGCAATTCAACTCTGCAACTTCAAAATGATTGATAATTCCTAGTGCAAAACCTTTAGGTTTAACATCATTCCTAGTGCAAAACCTTAAACTTTTGATTTCCGCTGACTGAGAGTAAGACACATTTAATTGTCATTTTTCCATTTTCAGTCAGTATCAAAAAATTATCAGAAAATGCGTACCCTCACGATACAAATTGGTGAGAGAAAGAGAGAGATAACTAAAAACCTGCAAGGTGTTTGTTTGCAATACCTAAACAAGTATTTGTAACGTTTAAAGATAATTGTTGATGCACAAAACTATGCAAGCAGGTGAAAGAGCAAACCTTATGCTTATTAGTATTCTTGAGCTCCTTCTCCAGCTTTTTCATGGATGCCGAAAGCCTTCCGAGTTCCCCAATCTCAAGTACCAAACAAACACATCACACAAAGAATAACTTACTCAGTCAAAAGTTCAAATCATTTTGAAGGTAGCAATACTGAAGGAAGAGGAACGCCAACAAACGTACCTCAACTAGGGTGGTACAAATAGAGGACCCCAACCAACAGAAGAGAGATATCCTTCCAATTAGTTCAGTACGTTCTTTGTTCTGTACAACAGAGCACTCGACTTACTCATACCAAAACCCATTTAACCGAATTAAGAGATGACTGACAAAGATTTATGCTTTTTTCTTCTAAGAAATTGTTTATGGTACTAGAAGCTAAAAACAGTTGAAATAATAGATTGATCATGTTTGCTAACAAAAGCTAAAAAGTGATATCAAAACTGAATAAGTGTAAGGAGTGTGTTTTCGTAATACGCTGTTGACATACTTTTTGTTGGTAAATAACTAAATATAAAAAATATGTATAGTAAAAAAAAAAAAAAGAAAAAGAAACTCCTGCTAAGAATTTCTGATCAGCTAATTAGAACTGGTAGCATACGTTGGCATGTGAAAATATGAAGCGCTACATTCTTTCATCCAATAATTGGACGAATCAATCTTTCAAGTAAATGCAAAGACTTCAAGCTAGAGAAGTTTAAAGACAAACCTTATAAATCCCTGTCCTGCCCAGCCACACAATTTGATCTAAGAACAAGAAAGTGGACAAGAGTGCATTTTTCGACTGAAACAAACAACCACAAGAAGAGTAAGATAAAGATAAGTTATTAAGTGGAGTTCCCATATTTCGAAAAGTTAATACCTTTCCCAACAAAATCAGAGGAAGTGGAGTTCCGGGAGCATTTGGACTAATGAGAGCATGGAGATCATTGATAAACTGTAAATCAAGAAATACATACAAAATTGATCAATCCAATGGAGGTAATTCAACGAAATAGGAGGTGTATAATGTTGAAAACTCCAATGTTATGAACACAAATGGAGTTATTAATAATATAAGTACAGAAAGAAAGGAAATAATAAACTTCATTAGATCAAAACGGGGTATGCATAGAAAAGTTCACAATTCCAAGAAAACCGACTGGAAATACTCACCTTGAACAATCGAAAAACTTTTCGAGCCAAACTAGTCGACTTGTCGACATTTTGTGCGGTCCCAGGCTCCCCATTACTCAAGAACTTGGAACCATACTGAATTGCCCTGCATATCTTATCCCTTGCCTCGGCTTTGTTCAGATACAAGACAGCAAGGGCAAGCTCTGCTCGGGCAACATCCAACGAACTACTCATGTTTATGTCTCGACAATCCTAAAAACAATTAGGTACCATCTCAGTCCAATATCAACTGAATTGAAAAAATAAAAAATCCTGGTCTAGTTTGCATGTTATGCCCTACAATAAGGGTTAAAAGCAATTTCAACTGAAGATATAACTAACATATGAGAAGTTACCAATCCATCCATATTAAAAAAACACACCAACCTCAAGGTAAACTTTACAGTTATTCCGATTCGTTTACTTTTTTTCCTTAAACTAGTCAACAACAACAACAACAACATAGCCTTTTTGTCCCAAGCAAGTTGGGGTAGGCTAGAGATGAAACCCAAGAGAACCATTTTTTTTTTTTTTTTCCTTAAACTAGTCACTCATCCAAAATCATTTTCACATTCAACTTGCTGTTTTCGACCAAATCACATCATACAGTGTGTTTCACTTTATTCTGCTTCAGATGAGACACTAAAAAATGCATTACACAGTTGATGAGCTTATGGATCTTTAGTTACAATCGCTATCATAAAAACCAAATCTTGGTTTCGTCTAATAAGATTAGAAAGAAACTCTACTAAACTCCAACTTCAGAAACCCGAGATTGACCAAGATACACAAACAACCCAATCACAGCCAACACCTTAAGTTTCAAATTAACCTCAATCAACTATTCACCAGTCTCTAAGGGATCCTAAATAAACATCGTTCAGAAACAAATGAAAACCTGAAATACATCAAACATACGGTCCAAAACATCAGCTTTCAATCCCACTGAGTTAAGCTGATTCAGTAGCTAAACTTGCAAAATCTCCAAATAAATAACGACTTTTAAGAACGCACAGACACGCGCCGGCATACACGCAGTTCTTGGTTCGAAATACACAAAAACACGAAGATCGACAATCTCACAGACAGAAAAATAGAATCACAGAAGCTAAAAAATTTGATATGAATAAAGAGAATATACGAACACTAAATAAATACCAATAAATGTACGGCATATATTGCAGATTATTACCGGGCGTCGTGCTCGTGCCGCCGATGGGTTGTTCTCTTGAAATTCACAATACAATTATCTTTATTTTCTCTCTCTAAAGTTTGTACTTCCTCTCTCATGCCA